AGGAAGCTTTGGCTTATTGCAAAGTGTACTAGCATACTGATTAGTTTTACAGGCTTTCTTTCCTATATGTGTTTCTTGATGCTGAGTGAAATGTGGCTTCTTGCAGAACACTTCCCAATCTCTATTACAATCAAAAGTTTTCCCTCCTTTATAAATTTGTTAAGTGTGAGTGAGGAATGCCTTCTTGACAAAACTATTCTCACTCTCATTACACTCACAGTATTTCTTTTCCATGATAACCCTGTGGTGTTTATTTAGAGTTGGCATCTCACCAACACACCTCCTCCCACAGTCTTTAAACTCATAGTGATTCTCCCTCGTATGAGTTTGCTGATGAACAACGAACATTGGTCTATCAGAAAAGGCTTTCACATGTTCATTATATTCACGGGGCTTCTCCCATGAGCACACTCTCTTTTGGGTAACGAAGACTGCCTCCTCGTGGAAAGCTTTCCCACGCTCACTATACTCAAAAAACTGCTTCAGAGTTTGAATGTCCTGATGCTGAAATAGGTCCTCATTCTGACTGATGGCTTTCCCATTTCTATCATGTTCAAACGGTTTCTCTCTGACATGAGGATTCTCATGCTTCCTACAAAGGAGAAATTTCCCATGTGCCTTAAATTCATCAGGCTTCCTTACCAAGGAGTTTCTATTGCTAATAATTAATTCTGAAATATAATTCAAACTCATTCCATATGAGTCATAGTTACCAGGTATTTTTCTTAATAGAACAGGATTTGTGTCCAGATAAAATGTTTTTCCTAATACACTATTTCTTTCCTTAGTTAGTGTTTTGCTGTTGACAAAATCAACTTTCCACAAATGCTGTTCTTGGTTTTCCTGGCTCTTCTCCACCAGGTCATCAACTATGCAGAAGTCTAGAAATAAGAATAAGTTACCATCATTTATAAATGTTGACATATTTCTTACGAAAAGCACACGCAATCACATGCCTTATAACAGACTGACTGGTCTTTTGGTATGAAAGAAATCCCAAGGTATACTTTCTCACTCCCACAGGTTTAGAAAAATCAAATAACTT